TTAAGACAGAAAATGTGTCTATAGAAAATCACAAGGTAAATTCTGCTTCGTGATATCTTTAAGACAGAAAATGTGTCTATAGAAAATCACAAGGTAAATTCTGCTTCGTGATATCTTTAGGACAGAAAATGTGTCTATAGAAAATCACAAGGTAATTTCTGCTTAACAATATCTTTAAGACAGAAAATCACAAGGTAAGTTCTGCTTCGTGATATCTTTAGGACAGAAAATGTGTCTACAGAAAATCACAAGGTAAGTTCTGCTTCGTGATATCTTTAGGACAGAAAATGCGTCTACAGAAGATCACTAGGTAATTTCTGCTTCGTGATATCTTTAAGACAGAAAATGTGTCTACAGAAAATCACAAGGTAAGATCTGCTTCGTGATATCTTTAGGACAGAAAATGTGTCTACAGAAGATCACAAGGTTAATTCTGCTTCGTGATATCTTTAAGACAGAAAATGTATTTACATAAGTAATTAATACTCTGAAGTAGCTGTGACACATTATGATGGTGTTATATGATGAAAAGAAATAGGCAGTAACAAACATCCTATGTATCAGTTTAATAAACATGGTGGTCTATTGTTTAACTGTTTTGAAAATGAGAACATTACCCATATAAATATTTTTTATATTAAAAATTTGGACATCATATGAAATTTTGATACATACTTAACTCTTGACTATTTACAAATTACAAAGCTTACTTTTTAAAGTTTTTTAATAAAGATTTAACACTTGTAATGTCTGTTTTTGTGATAAATTGATTTTATCTTTCAGCTTTCTGTTGTTATTCCAATACCTCCATTTCTAGTCAAGCATAATGAGCTCATAATTAAGTAAGTTTCAACATTATATGTGCTGCAAAAGATAATAGTTTCATCAATATTTCATTAAAAGTTCACAGTTGATTTTATTTTTATTTTTTTCCATTTTATTTCTTAGTTTGGAAATATTTGTCTAGAAAGTTTTTTGCAATTTTAAGTATTAAAGAAGTATACATACATACAATTTAATTTTGTATTTATTATTTGTATTATTATTTTGTACTTAAACTAATTTGTGCTTTTTGTTTCTTATAATAGAATTTATAATAGCTTGGAAACTGAAATTGATTAACTGATGTTTTTTTTTAACACACTTTAGTAGTGTAAAAGAATTGCTTACGTACCTTTCAAAAAAGAGGTCATCTTTTGTTGTTGTTTTCTTTTGGTTTTCAATTAAAGGTATTCAAAAATTGAATGTACTTCCCAGGTTATTTTACATGAAATTTATAGTTGTTTTTATTACTTGAGTGTTTTGTTTTAAGTTGCTCACTGTCCTGCTATGCAGTTAATTTACTTTACATAACATCATTCTTTTTTTTTACTACTGTTAGTATTACTAGTGAAGTAAATAAAATTTTCAATCACATGTAAAAGAAAACTTTTTTTTTTGTAGTTTTGATTTAAAGTCAGACAAATCTGAATGTCTAAGTTTGACGTATGAATTTTTTTTAACAGGAACAGACATTACATTAGCATTCCAGTTCAGTTTAAACCAACCAAACGGGGTAAATACCAAAGTGTTTTAATCCTTCACACAGACATAGGGTATGATATCACCATTCAGATCTCTGGAGAGGCATTATGACAAATATTTTAATATTTATGTACTAGCTTGTGTATGAAGGCCACATATGTATTGCAGTTGAGGTACTATTGTGAGATGTGGGGGTACAGAATGTGATTAATTCAATTTGGTGGGTATATTTTTTGAATCTCTGATTAAAAAGGATTTTCATGTATGTGTAAAAATGTATTTTTAATATGTATCGGTGATTGGTGGCTTATTCACATTGAAGTCAAATAATAAAAGCTATTTTATGAAATAGATTTTAGAATTAAGAAAAAGTTGACTTGTTTGTATTGTATACTTAAAACACATCTAAGAACAAGTATTTAAAAAAAATAATTGATAAAACACAAAGTTACAATTATTAAATTCCAGTCAATTTGTATTTATTGTATTGTGTTTTAACAGTTTTTATAAACTATTATTTTCATTACATTCAAAAAGTAATTTTATCTTGATTAATTTTGTAAAATTTGGCTCTTTATTTCAAATAGTGACTTAAATAAAGACTTGTATGACTGATTAATTGATTGATCTAGAAGTTTTTAAAGCTGTGGTTTATATGCTAAAAAAATTACTGAAGATAAAAAAAATTGAACCTATATTAGTGTGAATATTTCTTCAGCATCATTATTGTGGTTCAAAAATGATATGAAGTTGTATGGATTACTAAGGTAGTAAAGATGTGACTTTTGACCTTTTCTTGTTAGCTAAACAATTCATGGTAGTTTTCCAATATTAATTATGAAGTTTATTTCTTAAGTGCTATATAACTTAAGAACTTAAAGCATACTGATAAAATGCTGTTCTGCATAATGAGAAGTGAAACACATGAAATAGGATATATTCTGTTTTTTATTACTAGTTGAACAGTCTGTTAACTTTCTTTACTACTATTACTGTTTTGTTAACTTTTGTAATACGTCAAGCTTGTAGAATAAAATGAGTTTTCCGAAAAGAACGTGAAATAGGAAACTATTTTGTGATAAACATTGAAAGTTAGGTTAGTTCGACTCTTTGTCTTGAGTAAATTAGGTCCTTAAACTCAAATGATTTGGGTAAAAATAAATCAAATTTGTAAAATAGGATTTTATGATAATCATTATATTTATGTGTACATGAGATGAAAAGGTATTTTAAATGTGAACTTGAGTGTTTCAAAACAAAATGTGAATAAAGGTGTGTTGTTTCCTTAGAAAAGTTTGAAGTCTTGTTTTATTTTCTCTAAAGAATACCAGCTTGTTCAATCAGTAGTATTTTGCCTTCTGTGGTCATCCACAACTTTCATATCAAACTCATTATTTTCCAGATATTTATCAGTTTTTTAATTTTCTACCTGATTCGTGACAGTTTTTTCACCCCAACAGTTTTCTTCAGTGTTGTGTGTAATTCTTGCTCTTCAATTTCCTACTTCTTAGATTTCACAGTAAAAGCATGGCTTACAAGGTGCCTGTTATCAAAGGAGTTGTAATTAGGAGTATTGAAATGTTAACATTTACCTGGTGTGGTCTAAATTCTGTGTAGCTATTTTAAAGAGAAAGTGCCTCTTTGTTGTGCTTGTTTTATGTTCCTCTGTACACAGATAGCTCATTATAAGACCTGATGGGTTGTTCTTTGACAAATGCAATACACTTAGTATCAAATTTTTATGGGGGCCAGGATTCTTTACAGTTGGTGTGTGTAACTTGTTGGTGATAAATTTCAACAATAAACTTGTTTTAGAATAATATATTCCAAACAAGTCAAACGTATGTACAAAAAATTTGATACACTATTGTTTACCACAGTTCAATCTAGAGTTTTAAATAATTCTCTTTTTCATCAAAAGTCCATACAGGTTGATTCAATTACTTTAGAATCCAATTGACAAATGAATTATTTCTTCTCTCCACTATTATCATAATATAACCAGTGATAAATTCACTTGCATTACCCTTTGAGTTACCACAGTTGTATCCAGAGCTTTGAATAATTATATTTTACATCAAAAATCCACAGGCTGGTTCAATTTACTTTAGAACCCAACTGACAAGACAAATTCTTCTTCTCTATCCCTGTTGTTACAATACAAGCTGTGAAACTCACTTCAAAATCACCATTATAACTGTTGGTTACCACAGGTGTATCCAGAGCTTTATATATTTGTGTCCTTTTCATCAAAGTCCACACAGGTGAGTTCAGTTACATTAGAACACCCTTTGACAAAACAAATTCTTCTTCTTTATCTCTGTTACTGCAATACAAACTGTGAAACTCTCACTTTATAAATTGCTCATTATGGCTAAACTGACAACCTTGCAGTCTAACTTAACTTCTTTCGCTTTTACTTTCACTAACTTGCTTATTCTCTGTATCTGCAGGTACAGAAAAATCTAGAAATAGTTAGCCCTTTAGTATCAACATTAAACATAACAAGAATAACTTAGAAGCTTCCTGTAAGATGACATCAACAATACTACAGAAGCTTAGTACAACAATTAAACTTCATACACAACATATGACTTTTACAGAATTACATAATGAACTTGTCATAAATATTGTTTTTAAAATAATTAACTTTTAACAATCTTATTACAAAAACTAAATAATTATTAAATGTTAAATAAACTAAATAGTAACTTTTAAACTGAACAGGCTTGTATATCCAACACTTAGTTTTATGTGAGAATTTTAAGTACATTTACCTGAAACAGGAAGTTTGATATTTTTATTGATTGTAGTAGAAAATATATTTTTAACCAATGAAAGAACATTTTTGTAACATTACATTTTCCATGAAAATATCAATAAGTAAGAAGACACTCCCGGACCTGATTAATGAGGCTAGTGCTCTACCAACTCAGTATAAGCATTCTCCATCACTGTTCACATATATACACCTTTTTACCGTTAGTATTGTCACCTCAGACAATCGGTTAATTGGTTTACAACCACCTAATCAAATTATAACATTCTATCACAAATGTTGGTGTTAAAATTTTTCATTACAAACCCAACTGAAGAGGTTTTGGGCCTAGGACTTGAACCAAGGACCTCTGGCTAACAAGGCTTTTTTCTTTGACTTGAATGAGAAGACAACTTGATCTATGATAGATTTCACATAATTTGGTTATGTGATAGTAAATCAATCCACTAATTACCATATCATAGTGTAAAATGGTGATTATACTCCTAGTAAGAAGTCTAAAAAGTGAACATTGATGGGAATGGTTGTAATCTTGGATATCTCAGTTGGTAGAGCAATGGCCTTGTTAACCAGAGGTTCCTAGTTTCAAGTCCTGATCCCAGAGGTTTTTTAACTTATCAGTGATTTAACTTGGTTATAAATACCTCTGATTCATATAAACCTTTCTCCAAACATTTTTAGGACAGGGTACAGTAAACAAATACTTCTGTACCCTTTTTCTTTGGACACTTAAATTCTGCCTTAATCCTTCTGTATACCGCTTTCTTATAACATTATACCACAGCTGCAACTTAATCCACATAGGCGCTTTATGTGCTTATTCAACTGCAAATACTTAGTCCATGTACTGTTAAAACACTAGTTCATACGTTAATTAGTGAGAAAGCATACAAACCAGTACCGCGACAGTCACATCCCAGCCAACTGGATGAGCCCTGGTATTAAGGGTTATCCTTCATCTCTGGAGTTAAGTCCTTGAGTTTCTACCCTAAGTACTATTTTATATTATTAGGTTTGATAAAGAACAATTGCTATTATGGAGTTTTGTAAGATAGAAATACAAAATTCAAATCATATAATGATGATGAACCTTTAAAAAAATGGTGAGATATTGTTTAATCTAAAAAAAATAGAAATATGATTAAGAAAAGATATAAAACGTATAGAAAAACACAGTTATTATGAACAGTTTTTAACAAAACATTAAACAACTTCAATGGTTTTTTACAAATATATCAAAAGAAATAAAGAACATTTTCTGAAGGCTAAAAAAACTTAATTTTTTGTTAATACTAAAAGTAGCTATACAGATGCCCCCAAGTGGAACAGCGGTATGTCTGCGGCCTTATACTGCTAGAAACCGGGTTTCGATACCCGTGGTGGGCAGAGCAGAGATAGCCCTTTGTGCTTAATAACATCTTATACAGTCTAATTTAAAATTTTTCTTTCTTGATTCTGGTTCTTGGATTGGTATTTTAGGGGGCATTTTGTAAAGCAATAACTTTTATATATCCAATAGAATGACCAGCCTCGTTGAAGTATCGAGCTACAGGCTTATCTTGATATTTAATTAAAATGCTATGTAGGCATTCACGTCTGTGTTCAGCAAACATTCGTCTGCCTAAATTTGGTCATAGTTGTTACAAATAATACATTAAACATTTACGTGCGCCCCCCAGTGGCACAGCGGGATGTCTGCGGACTTACAACGCTAGAAACCGGATTTCGAAACCCGTGGTGGGCTGAGCACAGATAGTCCATTGTATAGCTTTGTGCTTAAATACAAACAAACATTTACATGTGTAGGTGAAATGGTTATTAACAAAATAGGCTGACGTAGGCCCTGTAGCAGATGTTATATAATTAATGTAAGGGCAAGAGTTCCAACTGCCTCTCTGACAAATGTGTGTGTACCAATTTCAGTATCACATGATGGCTGTATGCTGTTTAAAAGTTTACTATGTGCGATCACATTTTTAATGTTAAAGTCTTATTTATAAGGAATTATAGGCTTATTAGGAAACGTGATTGATAGCACTGTCATGTGTTATAATGGGAAAATTGTCAAGCAGTACACGAGTGATTTGTGTATTGAATGGGTGTAATGGGAATGCGTTTATGATCAGCGGCAGTGGAAGTTTATTGGTTGACGTGAGTTTGGATACTTGCTGTAATCTGTAGATTGTCTAACGCGTTGACATTAGAATTGCTAAGCTAATATCATTTAAGCTAGACATCTCTGAGAAACGTTTGTCATATGTGCGTAGCTTATCTTTGGTATGATAAAGAAGATTCGTAGGGTGGCCACGTTCTTCGAAAAAGGGAAAAACTCGATAAATTTGTCACAATGATCTTGGTCATTGCTGTGTAATCTGGTAAGTGTGTTTTGCAAATTTTGTTTATCGTATGGAGGATGACAGGAGTGGAAATGTAATGTAGCTATGTGTGACCGAGGAATTGTAACATATAAGTGTGTGAGATGGCCATCATTAGTCGTGGAAATGTAATGTAGCTATGTGTGACCGAGGGATTGTAACATATAAGTGTGTGAGATGGCCATCATTAGTCGTGGAAATGTAATGTAGCTATGTGTGACCGAGGGATTGTAACATATAAGTGTGTGAGATGGCCATCATTAGTCGTGGAAATGTAATGTAGCTATGTGTGACCGAGGGATTGTAAT